AAGCTTCCGCTCTTCTTTCTAGACCAAGAGGACGATCAAATCGTCTCATTCTGCACTTAAGCGGCCTCCAGCCGGCCCAGCAGGACATCTGCAAAAAGCTGTCATGATGCAAAAAGGAGCCTTGAGCCCCGCATCTGTTACCACATCTTTAAAGTTACCCACACCCATGGACAGAATGGCTCTAACAATGGGGGGGTATGGGATCAGGGTGTGTTGAAACAGCCCACTAGTGCTTTGGAAAAGTCTGTGCTGTACATTTGTGCTTGCTCAGTCAGAAAACGCTTGCCTGAAAGGCCACTCAGCTGCAGGTGTGGTCGGCCAGTGCGAGAGCAACGAGTCTTGCCCGAGCAGCGGCGCAGGTCCACAGGAGCGCAATTCCACAGCAAAAGTTTTGTGGGCTTCTTCCACTGGCAGCCGTACATACACATGTGCACAGTCACCAACTGCACTTTTGGATGTTTCAGCAGTCTTTGAATTTGAGGGGTATCCCACACAAAAGACGTAGCTGGGTTTTCCAAGTAGCCACGGGTACCTAAACGTAGGCAGCGGCGAATCAGGCGAACCGACGCAAAGAACATGCGATTTGCAGCCTGAACTTTGAGAAAATCAGCAGTCTCAAGGTGGGGCAAACCAAATAGAAAATCTGCACTCCGCAAAGGCTTTGGCATTCGAGACCAAGGTGGCGCGCGCCTAGCCCTTGACCATGTGTTGCACGGGAGGTCCACTCCCACACAGTCAAAGAAATGCAAGGCTCGAAAAACTTGATTCCAAATCGAAAACTTTGAAAGGTCATTGGACAGGGAGTGGGATAAATCAACCAGCAAAGACAGACCACCCAAATCAGCGAACTGTTTTGCAGGGTTGCCCGCTCCCCCAAACAGACTTAAGAATGCTTTCTTTTGGAGCTCTGGGCCTTCTGCCGCACCTGCTTTGGGATCTCCCGAAACCCAGTGTGGAACCAACGAAGAAAATTCTTTCTCACATTCTCTCCGAAATCCGTCAGCCGATTGCCACGCTGATTCACGATTTGTTGAAGTCTCCCGGGTTTGCTGTAGATTCTGGAGCTGCTGTCGCTTGCCCACCTCCCCCTCCGTTGAATGTTCCCCACACTCCTCAGTCTGAGAAGGTGGTCCCGGCTGGCGCCTCCATGACGATTCTGGTAGGGGGTCTCCGCCACGTCTTCCACCTCTAGAGCTCTCACACACTGTCGCCAAGTCTCCAGGTACTTGCGGGCTGTGAAGGGCCACAGCTGTCCTCCTTCTCCTACTTCTTTGCTCCTGCGAGCCGCCAACTGGTTCAAGAGCTCCCCCAGCCATGGAGCGCGGCTGTCGTCCAGGATCAACGTCTCGTCGAAAATTCCGGCTTTCGATGTTTCCCCTCGTTCGATTGGGTTCAGAATCAACACGTCGAAGTTGTGTCCTGGGGCACGCGGAACCACATCTACTGGTCGAAGCCTGAGCAGCTCTCCTGGTCGGGCATAAGTTGAAAATGAGGTTTCGTTGAACAGAGACATTTCCCGCTCCCCCATGTCCATCATGAGACCACTGATGCAGCTCTTGAGGAACTCCATCATGGGAAGGCGTGTTTGCTGCGGCGCTAATTTGCGCCATCCCTTCATGGCTCGCTTGAACCTGGGCAGCATCAGTTGGCCAGACCTGATCCCCTCTGGCCGTTCGTACTCGAGGGCAGCTTTCAACTTTTCTCCGACATGACACCCCTCCCCATCGAGGAAAAGCTCGTCGGCATAGTCGCACATGGCTATGTCTAGCTCGCCTTCGGTGCGAATGCTCAGGTTGTGAAATGCTACGAAGTTGTAGAATTCTTCCAGCCTCCGAGAGTATTCTTTCCTTTGTGGCTCTTTCACGGAGTGGATCTCCAAAATGGTCCTTTCCCCTGCACTTGCTCTCAGCTTGCGCACGAACTTCTTCTGTCTTTCTGTAGCTTTCCTCCTCTTCTTCTCTACTGACTTTATCTGCTGCCTCAATCCGCTGTTCATAACCTTGACTCCTGCACTTTCCCTCGCCCTCGAAGGTGACCGACTCCTCTTCCTCTTTCGGCCTGCCTCCAGAGAAGGGCTTCGCATCCTCTGGTTTGCACGCACAGCCTCTGTCTTGGAAAAAATTTGCACCTCTCTTCGGGGCTTTGCGCTTTTCGAAGTCTTCAGCTCGTCTCTCACTCTCCCATTGGCGACTGCCCTTGTCAGCAACATTTAGTTCTGAAGCCAGCCACCGAATGTGAAAGCGTTGCCCCGTAGCCAGGGCATGAGCCGATATCCTACGAATAATCCGAAGCAGACCATAGTTGTGACATCTTCCCTTTTGTAAAGCCAAGACCACCGACATGTTGTCATTGAGTATGAGAATCTTCTTTCGATGACGGTGGTGGTCCCGGCTTCTGTGCTTTACTGCTGCTAAAATGGAGCGGGCTTCAATCATGTGTACTGGTTCTTTGTGGGTTATATGGGAGTTCCAGAGAGGATGCCAGGCTTTCTCGTTCATGAAATCATGACCAACTTCGGGAAAACCAGCTACTAATTCCAGATCGCCAAAAACCTCGCCAGTAACTTCAGGAAGCACTGTCTTGGGGTCCTCAAAAACTTTGGAGGTGTCCAACGCTTGACTGCGAGGCGCAACCTTTCTGCCATCTCCCCACCTGAACCGCCATCTCTCGTCGTAGCGGCCAAGCGAAGCCACTTCCTGCGAAGAGTGCTGCGATTCCATCGCAGCATAGCCCGACAAACAAGCATCGGTGCAAATTGGTTGGCCATCCCAGGCAGCAAAAACATTGGCAGTACCTAAAGCCATCAGCCCTCTAAAAATACGAAGTTCCAAAGCGACTGAAGCCCAAAGCCTATGCCTCTGGTGGTAAAATCTGCGAATAAAAACATACGCATGCCGAAGGATGCTCATGAGCCCCCGGTGTAAAAGAGCTCGAATCGTCATGTGACCCACAATCACTTCCAGCTCTTGCCCCGATATGCGAGGCCTTGCAAACGCCAGTCCTTCCAAGGCACGATCGAGCCTCCAGTCCCTCGCCGCTGTGGTCCCCACCTGGCCGGTGGCGCCATTGATCCGGATCCCCAAGCTCTCTGCGAGGGAGACTGGATCAGTGACTTCGTGAGTTTCCAGTCCATGCGAGTGCAAAGAACCAATCATGTTTTTCTGTTCTTCCAACAGCTTCTCCCTCTCTATCCCTATGTGGTTGTTGTTGTCAGCATAGATCAACAGGGCTGATGAATGCTGCCCCCCTCCCATGTCCCAGGATCGGCGCTGGCCGCCGGTCTTGAAGTATCCCGCAGTGAGGCAAACACCTGGCCGACAGCTCAACATGCGCCATATGCGCCAGGTGGAATGACCACGAGAACCCCATGGGAAGTACTTGAAAAAAGGGATGAATAGGAGCAGTGTGTCGATCTAGTAGCTCTTCCACACCAGGAGGAAGGAACCCCAAAGCATCACGAAGCTGGACTGGATCAATTGCGGGGAGAGCAAAATATTCACCTAGGGGACGATGAATACGAAGCCGATAGAAAAAGTCTTTGACATCTTCTTGTGCCACGAAGAACTCGGCACCGGGCTCGTCAAACTCCAATCTAGTCCACGTATCTGCAGACCCCAAAAGAGTGGAAGGGGGGAGACCGAAACAGTTTGTTTGTGCGTCTTGCGTCCACCACCAAACGTTGCTTTCCTGATTTCTTGGCAACACAAAACACCCCCACTTGAGACTTGGGTGCAATGGTGAAATCCAACAATTTGCACGCAAAGAGGTCTGCGACAAACGCATGGTACTCTGTTTGATCTCCTTCGAGCACTGGGTCAAGGTATTTGTCGCGGCTGAAGCCTCGCTCCAAGACACCGGCCATCTCCTCATCGGAGAGAAGCATTGAGTCAGCAAAATGCTCCAGTTGTTCTTTTTCTTTGGCTGGAAGCAGGTGACTCAACTGTACTGGGTCTTGCTGGTCTCTTGGGAGCGAAAGCAGCGCCCTCTGATAGGCCACAACCTGGCCTGGGGCGTCCCCCGACTCATAGCCTGAGGACACCTTCTTGGACAGCAGCTGCCGAAGCGCTGCCTGTGGGGTCTCCCTCTCAGGGGGTGGAGGCCTTTTGAAATGGGCCTCACTCACCACCTGCAAAGCAGACTTTTGGGAAAATTTGTAGGAGAGCTTGGCCAAGACGACTCATCGGCAAAGCCTGCAAGGTGGTTCAAGCACTTCACAGTCTCGATCTCCCGGGATACAAGCAGCCTTCGCTTCTGTACCCTTTGTCTCGAGCGCCGAGAATGCAAGGCAGAGACATCTCCCACGTAGCCATCATCCCTCGGCAGCGGCAGTGGGAATAGATCCCCAAAACGCTGCAAAGGAGCATTGGAAAACATAGTGGTGCTAAAAGGTAGTTCGCACCTCCGACCGGCACCCTCGATCGGAGGCGGCCTCTTCTTCTCAGGGCTTTCCTGGGGCTTTGCCCCCATCCTCCTTCTCCTTGTTGCCCTTGCCCTCGCCTTTGCGACTGAGTCTCTTCTCCTCACTTGCCAGGCGAGTCTGCTTCATCACCTCCGCTTTGGTTGCTTGTCTCTTTGCCGCAAAAGCCGCCAAAGCTGGGTCAACTATCGATCCATCAGCACTTTCTCTCACTCCCAGGAAATCCTCTGCGCCTTCGTACGAAGGGGCATCTGGTCGCCCTTGGTGAGCATGTTCGATCAAAGTCCGACGCCTATTCAGAGCTTCAGCAGCCGCAATGGCCGGCAAGTTGAGCTGGTCGTAGCACATCATCAGGTTCAGCGCCCGGCAGACCGAAGAGTGCTCGTGGACTGACCTGTCAGTGGGCCTCACACCACTCTTTTTTAGCCAAGACTCGTGATGCTGAACAAAGTCAAGCCCCAATCGGCGAAGCTGGCGAGTGTCATGACTGACAGTGCGAGGACCCTGCAGGGGGTAATCGTCAAACTCCACGTCCTCGAATTCCGGCACCGCCTCCGACACAGTGCGCCACCTTTCCTCGGCCGAATCGAAGATGACTGGAAGGATCCGAAGATCCCGTTCTGCCGGAGGCTCAACATTGACCCCAGCAAGAGCGGCTCTTTGTACCAAGTGGAAATCCTCATGACGAACCCCCCTACAAAGCACCTCTCGCCCATCATCACTGAACATGCTGAACTCTTTCCCACCAACGAACAACCTCTGCACGTCAGCTCCAATCGCCATTTCATCACCTACCCCTCGACCATCTGAGGCGTAGACCACCAGCCACCGCTGTTCCCCTTCGGGTCCTTGCTCCGGGGGCTGTTGGTGAGGAGGAGCTTGGGCTTGAGCCTCCGGAGACACAACACCTTCCGGTTCCTCTAGTCTTCCCACAACACGTCGACGAGTACCATCAGCGGCAAACCGTCTCTCTGCATTAGACATCAGGGTCCTCATCTCATCGTGCAGGATGACACCATTCGGAGAGTGCTTGGGCAAGTAGGTCTCCCGCTCCCGGATTCCAGCGGGAAGCTTCCCACTTGTCATCTTCCTGATTTCAGAGTACACTGATCCAGTGGCAAGCCTAGTTGACTCCAAGTCTCTATCTGGGGTCAGCACCACCACGTTGTCTCCATACAAGCACAGCATCACACATCTCCAGTGAAGCAAAGTCGGGTCACTGATGTATCGAACGAGCACGCAATCTTGCGGCAGCCAGTTCTTCCGAAGAGGTCCCGCCGCTCTCATCGCTAGACACTAGGTGGCCTACGCCTCCCTTCTTTTTGGTCACCAGGGTGACTGGGCGCCCCGCCAATGGGGTGCTAGGAACTTCTTGCTTGAATCTCCCAAACCAGAAACCCAGGATCAACCCGAGGACAAGGCACAGAAGTGCAAAAAAGATCACTGACCAAATGGAATGACACTCGTTTGACCTTCTGATTTCACAATCCACCACCTGCCTGGAAAGAGTGCTCGAATGATTCTGGCAGCTCGCGAGATACTGGTCGAGGATGGTACTCTTGGCTTCGCACCCAGAGGTCTTTGCAGCAGCACCGCTGTCCAAACGCCGCACCAGGTCCACCACACTCACTATGGCAACCCGAGTGAAATCGACGGCTAGAGTGCGGGCGGCCTCCCTCCAGGACATTTGAGAAGAAAAGGACTAGACATGTAAGACAGAAATTCGAAGTGCTCTAGCTATTATGCCCTTTGGGCTCCAA